AAAAAACCTGGCTCATGCACCATTGAAAGATAGACGAGTTCTGTCACTCTCGATCACAAGGTGGAGGAGCTCTTTCACGAGGTAGGTAGAGCACTCTCTCTTTTCTTGCAAAGAGATAGAGAAGATCTGTCATGACTCCATGAACCGTTACGAGATAGAGAAGCCTCTTTCATGTAAAAGATAGGTCATGGTAGAGCTGAGAGCTCCTCTGCCTAGTGATGGCAAACGAGAAATAGGAACCAAAGGAGATAGAAGAGGTTGCTCATTGCAAAATAGGAAGCGGAGGAGCTATTGCAGAAGAGGCAAGCAGCTCCTTCACTTGCTGCGCAGACACAAAGGAGCTTTCAGATGACCTGTTCAGAGATAGCGAAACTCTCTCACGTAAACGATAGAGACTGATGAGTTGTGTCCCCATTCAAGGGATAGAGAATGGCCTTCCAAACTTTCATTTCGGGTAAAGAAGAGATCTGTCGCAAAAAGGTAGAAGAGCTATGTCATTTCTTATGCATCGATAAACGGCTACTCGCATGATTTCTTCATCGATAGAGAAGCAGCTATTTCTGAATAGAAATTCACAATGGAGCTGTCTCATGTCCCAGTGAAAGATAGACGAGTTGTGGCATTTGATTTTGAGGTGAAGGAGCTCTTTCACAAGAGGTAGGTAGAGGACTCTCTAATGTTCTGCAAAGAGATAGAGACAATCTTTCTTGACCCGCTACGAGATAGAGGAGCCTCTTCCATGTAAAGGGTAGGATGTGGTAGAGCTGTGAGCTCCTCTACCTATCGACGGGAAATTAACAAGAAAGTACATTCGAGAGCTCTTACAGCTTCTATGAATGAGTTCTTGTGATTGAACAAAGGGAGCTCTTTCACAAAAGGTAGATAGAGACCTCTCTCATTTCCTGCAAAAGAAAGAGGAGGTCTCTCATGACCTATTGCGAGATAGAGAAGCTATGTCATATAAAAGATACGAAATGGTAGAGCTGAGCGCTGGTGACGGCAAATGAACTAGGTAGGACATGAGAGAGCTCTTATACATTGTATGAGAGATTTCTTATATCTATATCTCTTGTGAACGAGTTCTTCAATCTCTGACTAGGAGATGAATGAGCTCCTGTATCTTCTCATACGAAATGACAGAATGGATATAAATGATGTCCTCTAGCTGTTAACGCAACATGAAAAAACCTCCTCTATCCCCTAAAAGAGAAGGAGAGAGGGAAGCCCGCTCATGACCTATTAGGAACCAGAGGAGATAAAAGAGCTTGCTCATTGCAAAATAGGAAGCGGAGGGCTCTTGCAGAAGAGGCAAGGAGCTCCTTCACTTGCTGCAAAGATACAGAGGAGCTTTCAGATGACCTATTCAGAGATAGCGAAACTCTATCACGTAAACGATAGCGAGTGATGCGTTATGTCATGTCCCATTTGATGGACAGAGAATGGCCCAGAGTGGCCTTCAAAACTCTTCATTGATAGAGAAGCTGCGAAGCTATTTCTGAAAATCGACATAGAAGAGAACTCTCTCATTTCCTGCAGCGTGAAAAAGGAGGTCTCTCATGACCTATTGCGAGATAGAGAAATTTCAGGTAAGAGTTAGGTAATGGTAGAGCTGGGCACGCCTCTGCCTCTTGACGAGAAATGAGCTCGTGTATACTTCATGAATGCGTTCTTCTATCTCTCAGATGAAAGAGCTCCTCGATCCTTCTTATAGGGCATGAAAGAAATCCTGTGTTCGAAATGAAAAGACCCTTTGATAAGCAAAAGAAAAAGGGAAACGAATCGATGCCTTCTATCTTTTAGTGCAGAGCTTCTCACTTCTAATGCGACATGATAGAGCTCCTCTATTTTCTTGGAAATGAAACAGCTTGCGTTCTCTCCTGAGTGAAAGATGTCTCTGTCGTGGAAATGAGATCTCCTCTATGTTTCTAAGAAATGAGATAGCTCACCTCTACCTCGTAATCGGAAATGAGAGAGCCCTTCGCCCCTCTTCAGGCTATGAAACAACTTGTCTATCTCTTACTTCAAAGTGTGCTAGAGCTACATGGCTGCACTTGCTGGCGCCGGTGCACACACAGACCAAACCTTCACTATTACTGTTACTACTACTAATACTATTACTAGTATTATTACTATTCCTATTCCTATTACTATTACTATTACTAGTACTATTATTATTCCTATTACAATTACGGTCAGTATTATTATACTCATAATAATATTAAAATATTATTATTATTGCACTACTACTGAAAGAAGAACCAGCCGTGAAATAGACCCTAAAGGTCTCGGCCACATATATATATATATATAGAAAATATGAAAATATATATATATATATACATATATATATATATATTTATTTATGTATACATATTTTTTGAAGTAATATGTGTAAATGTTTGTTTCTTGGGGCCCCCTCCCCCCAAATCTCTGTCTGCAGTCTTTCGCGGGAGGCTGTGTAGCTATGAGCCGTTCTCACCCTGTCTACCCCAAACCCCGAAACCCCAAACCACCCAACCCCGAAACCCTCTAAGTCCTTAAAATCCAGAAAATGTCACAATCGTGGGAACCTCAAAAGCTCGGGCCCATATTGAGACGCTTTCTGGAAGAAAAAAAACGCCATACTTAACGACCCCTTTACTCCCCTCAAATCCCTCTCTCAAGCCCATTGCACATCTCGCAATATATGGCCTCTGTATTAAGCAGCATCATCTGCAGCCCGGGCGGCAAGCTCTGCAGCTGTTCCAGCCTGCAGATGTCCCACCAAGTGCTCGAACATTGCTCGAACAGTGCGAGCACACAACTGCCGAGACGTGCAAACTCGCGAGGCAGAGACATCTCTGGGGGAAGTAAGTTGCGCAGCGACGGGTGCAGAACCTGTGCCACTTGCACATTTGCACTGCTACCACAGTGAGAAACATTTTCGAGCGCCGAGCTCCCTCGCAATAGATCGTAGTGTTTTTGCCTTCGCTACATCTGGCTTCATCTGGCTTCATGGCTTCATTGGCGAAACGTATTCCTGCGAGAAGCGTTTGGAACAAGCAGACACGGATCCGGTCTCCTTCCCCCCAGCCCCCCATGCCAAATTTTGCGACCCCCTCGCCCCCCCCCCGCCCCCCCTCGGCCTTGTGGGACCCCCAGCTGCATGTGGATGGCGCCTCGCGAATTTGGCTGTTTTGGCCCCCTCCTGGCACCCGACCTGAGACCCTCTCAGACCCCTGGGACCCTTTTTTGAGGCCTTTCGCAGAAACCCTGCCGGCCCGGCTGCCGAGGCGGCGCGCGCAAGAGTTTACAATTACCTTTACATCATGGCATAGGGCATAGGGATCTGGTGCGGATGAGCTATCGGGAACTTGGGGAGGGGGTTTGGGGGCACCTTCACGGGGGACTTGAGGGGTGAGGGTAAAGGGGGTCCGAGTCTGATGCCGTGAGATAGGCCCATCAGCTGTCCAGTTGCTTAATTCAACAACGAGGTTTGCTGCATTCAACGAGTTGTCAAAGCTCACAAAACCAAAGATGCTTCACCTGACGACGTTGGAGGTTGCTTCAAGGTCTCGTCGCGGTTTGCTTATCGTATACCGGCGCCGCATAGAAGTATTGCAGCTAATTGCAGCCCGTGAATCTGAGAGGGCTTAGTTTTGCCTCAAGGTGTCGGGGTCAGACCAATAGCCTGACCCGGTGTCAGCAGTGCTCCGTTGTGTTTAGGCATCTTCTGAGATTTTTGTGCAAGTCAACTTAGTCAACCCAATTGTCCGTTTCTTTGGCAAAAAAAGTCTTGTGTTGGTCAGTCTTGCAGTACCTCACTTGGCTGCACACCTATATGACAGGACCCTTCTTCTTCACTCAAATCGCATTGTTTTGTGCCGGGTTGAGTAGCATGTGGGGGATGTCTGATGACGTATGGCTCCTGCGTGAGAATTCTCGACATGACAGTTGGTTCAGCTGGAACAAAGCGTATGCACTATATCACGATATGAGACAGTGCAAAAATGGAGCTGGCATGCAGCTACGGATGATTCAAAAAGTTCCTGGTATTGGTCTGCGAGTGATTCCTGCCAACAGACATGGAAAGATTGCACTGTTCGTCGGGGCATGGCTCACAATATGCCTGAAAACCCGGCATGGCAAGATTGCGGCAAGGTCTCAAAAAGCTTGCCGCACATGCAAGTCGAGTCAAATTTGCGCAGACAATTGTGGTCCAAGAATTTCTGATTCTTGTTCCGTCTTTTCCGTTTTGACCGCCGTGCATAAGAGCCGGAGCAGACTGTGTTTCTGCAGTGTGTAAGAAAGAGCCAAGCCGTCACATGTTGCGTGTGCATCTTGAGACACATCGCTAAATACTCGCCTCAGCTTCCTGCTGAGAAGCGTCTGATCCGCCCCAAGCACCCGCCCCCACTCCCCCCACCCTCCCTGACAGACCCCCCCCCCGATCGCTTGGAGCAAACCCATGCCGTGGAGGTCGCCTGTCGGCGGCTCCTACACAGGGCGCCTCAAAATGAACGGGATGGGTGCTGTGGAACTTTGTGTGGGGCCTCTTCTGGGATTCACGGGACCCTCTTTCTGCCTGGGACGCCAGCCTCGAAATGGCAACCTCATTGGACCCTTGTCCATCAGGCCGTCCCGGCTGCCGCCTCCAATCCGAGGACCCCCCACCCGCCCCCCCCTCTGCGCTTGTTGCGGGATGGGCAGGCATGCCGCCTTCCCCCCCCCCCACCCCCACCACCCCTTGCTGCCGCCTCGGTACCCTTGCCGAAGCGGCTCGCGTTAGCGACAAAATTATTTGTCAGCCGGTGCCTACTGCTTGTGTCACACAAAACTTTGTCGAATTGTCGACTTTTCACAAGAGGATGCCATCAACAGCAATTTGAATTAGATCTGCACATGTCTGTGTCTGTGTCTGTGTCTCTCTCTGTCTCTGTGTGTGTGTGCGCGCGTTTGTTCTTGTGTGGCGCATTCGTGGGTATGCATGTAACGCTCGGTGCACAGCGAAAAAACGACTGCTAGACGAGCTGGGGCTTCCTGCCAATCCTCCCTCGTTCTCCGCGCGGCTCACAACAAACCACTTTGAATTGAACTCCCTGAGCCATGGCAAAGCACGTCAAAGCACATCTTACAAGAGTGAGCTACAGTTCTATGGCATTCTATGGCGTCCTGGAATGTGAACTGGTCGTTCATGGCGAAGCTTTGCTGCTTGTTCCTGCACTATTCGATGCTGCTGGTGTCAGTAAGTGCAAAAACACAGCCAACAAGTCATCTCCGTGTGAGGTACGGCTTCAGGTAGTCGTTAAAGACGTCGTACTCATACCTTGAAATCCCGGTACTCATCAGAGCGTTGTGCTCATAACGCCAAGGCGCCAAGGGTGGCATCCATGTTGGGCGCCGGGCGCGGCAGGCAAGGTGTCTTGGAAGGGCACGAAATGGATCTTCGTGAACTCCGGCCTCTGGGACTCAAAACAATCATTTTATGCTTCGAACATCCCCACCCTCTCTGGGTTTAGATACTCTGGGAGAAGAGTTGAGTTTATAATCTAACAACCCCACACCGAGGGTGGTGAATAAACAAAACAGAAAAGAAGGAGAACTCATTGGACTCAAATACGACCAAAGTTTGGAAAAGACCAGGATCTCGCACTCCCCGAAAGCTGCCTCTTCTTGTGGCCAGCTGGGCCCTAAGAAGTTTTAGAAGGCCCCGACTGCGCAGTTTTGCACTGCATTGGCGCACTGTACTTACTAGCGGGACAAAACGGCCTGATACCACCCTTTGAAGGAGGACCGAATCGGACCTGCGGTGGGTAAGGCCCCGGTAAGGCCCCGTAAGGCCGGCCGAGGCGCGGTGCGAAAGCGAAAAGGCCATGGCGTGTTTGTTTAATACTTATTGTTTGACTTAATCTCCAATGTTTTCTCGTTCTTATGCAAACCATTCAAAAAAAACCTTTCTGAGCACACCGCGTGTTGTCCCAATCAACAAAGACCTGGCAAGTGCAGGCCCTAAATTAGCAGCTGCCGAACATGCAGCACCTGCCGAACATGCAACGTAGCTCTCTGGCAGATCTCCCCCCACCGACCGTCGAGAAAATCACGTCGCGACGTGAAGGAATGGATGCCAGACGAGACGCCACTGTGCTCATGTCAACGATGCCAATCTCCGGAGGCACGGGCTCGGCGGCCATCACCTCGAGGGGGCAAAAAGAGGGAAGCTTTCCTTTCCCCCCAAAACAGGAAGAGCGTCGCAAAAGGCAGCAACGCTCACAAGGCAGCAGCAACAACTAAGAAAAAAAAAAGGATGTGGGTCTCTCTCAGAGAAGGGCACCGGACTGACACACGGCAGGCCAATGGCCAATGGGGCCAAGGCACACATCTTACAACAACGCTCTCTCACGTGAGTCTCTACGCGGAGCATAGCACCGAGTCGCAGGAGTCGCAGGAGTCGCATCCCCCCCCCCCCCCCCCCCCCCCCCCCCCTTCGTCGCCATTCCGCCTGGAACTCGAAGCCGTTGATCTGCAGGTGCTCGTTGACACTCACAATGCTCGTTGCCTGTTCTCACTTCTACTGCAAAGCCGCGGCGAGAACAGCTCGGCTCCAAACTGCACGTGAGAAAGCTCTGCTTATAAGTTGGTTTCTGTCTAAGCACACTAAGCACACTTCTTCTCTCCCCGTCTTCTCTCTCCCGTCTAAACTCACTCCGTCTCCTTGCTGTGTTCCTGGCCTCGCTGGAGTTCAGGGTCTTGAAGTAAGGGTTGATGTACTCTTGGAACAAAGCCGTCGCGTCCTCGGTCTGGGTTGGTTTTTGAGTATTGCAACCTGACGCTGTTAGGTGTCCTTCAGGCTAAAAACTCATGCACATGCATGTGCAGTCTCCTGGTCTGTACGGGTCCGCTCGAAGTCCCAGAGGCAAATGAATTGGACCTCCACTCAGACACATCTGACACCATGTTCGACCACCGCTTCCTCTGAGAATCGATTCGTCTACAAGTCTACTCTAAGTCTACTCTAAGTCTGCTAAGTCTGCTCGTTCACAGGCGTTTGCCGCTCCACAGTTGTGCCTCTTTCCATCCTTCTCCCTTCGCTCGCTTCGCTCGCTTCGCTCACTTCCCTCATTTCCCCTCCGCTCACTTCGCTCACTTCGTTCACTTGACACCTTCTCGAAGCGTTTCAGAGGAGATCCTTCGATGAAGTAGTCGGTGTTCATGGACTGCAGTGGAAAGCTTCAGGCCGCCGGGCTCTTTGCTTAGATTCTTAGATCTGGAAAATGTCAAAAATGTGCAATTGAGACCCCTTCTCGGCGCTTCTCAATCCGGGGGCTGCACTAACACGGCGTCATCTGGTTCGCATTTCACCTTACGATCAACCAATCGACCAACACCAGAGGAACAGAAACAACATACCACCAGCACCGGATCCTAGTAAGGCGACCGCCACAACGAATTCATATCCAGCCGGTCTGAGAAACATCCCCGTCTTCACGGGAGTCTGCACAGGGACTCTACCACAAACAATTGTTCCTTGTCACTCTCCTTAACTTGACAACTGAAACTGAAACCACAAACAGCAAAGACTCCTGGTTGGCTCGCATGGTTCGTAAGACTGGCGACAAGATCTCCAAACGCCTGGGCTACTAGCTGGCGTTTCCAAGCAAACATCACTACACATTTCCTCTCAGACTCATTTGTCCGTCACAATCAATCTAATGGTGCTAGAACACGTCATTCTGCCAGTTCTGCGTCAGGGTGTTACACCCCTTGAGACTCACGCTGGCTCTGGTCGCACGAACTCGGGAAAACGGGCAAAATGTGAACTCGGCGAGCATTCCTTAGTAAAGCTTCCGCAAGACGAACAGTGAGCAAAGCGCTCGCTGCTCTGCTCGAGCTTTTATCGGCGAGATTCGGAGCTTTGACGTCTCTCGAAGGCACCTGGCAACAAAAGACTCCTCAGAACATGACATGGACACACACACAGACATGTTCATAAGCCTTTTCGTTTTCGAAGCTGCTCCCCCATCATGTATTTAAAGTCTTGCGCGCCCTGCTCGCCTCCAGCCTAATGGCACCTGATTTTAAATCTGCTAGCACACAAGCTTAATGGTCATGCACGGTGTGATCCCTGAATATCTCCGAGCCTCTATGCAAGGATTCTATCCCACTGCTAGGCATCGTTCACGGTGGGTGCAGGCTTGTGAGCCTTCTGACTTGACACTAAAAAATCTTATCCGCTGTCTCTAAAGACTTGAAAAGACCTACTTAAAATTGTGCTGTAAAACCCGCACACCATGCTCAGAGAAGTGGCGCAGGGTGTGGCAAAAAGGGCGAACAAAGTCTGCTTTTCTGAGTAGATTTGTTTTTGGAAGCCGTCAGACTAAGTCGATCATGTCACCTATTGTGACCTCGAATGAAGGTGTTTCTCCTTCAGCAGAGGGGAGAAGGGAAAGGAGTTAAGGAAAAAGAGTGACAAGAGAGCGACAGTTTGAAAAGAAAAGTAATGACATGAACATCATCGTGGGATGCACAGCAGTGAGCGGCCTTAAGATATGAACACTTCATCTGCAGCACAGCCATGCGCGGCGTGCGCGCCAGGAAATTCTCTGAGACACGTAACATAAGATGTGCAATTTGCGAAGAGCAATCTGGGCATCCCTGCGACCGGCCCTCGTCAATTCCCTCAAACCGAAAGTGCTGAATTTTTTGTTGGACAAAATCATGTTCTTAAAGCCTTGTACGCGGCACCTGATTGAGCAGCTCGTGGCGTCGCGGCTTGACAACGGCGACCAAAGCAACTACCAAAACCCAAAACCCATCAGAACCGGAATCACCCTATACAATTGGTTTGGATCCACCCTCTGGCCTCTGAAGCTGCCGATGGAGTAGTTGCCACCTCAGACGCCCTCGCGTTCGAGGCATTCGCTGAGTTCTCTGCCTGCTGGATTGTGGAAACACCCCATCATACAACCGTCGCAAAGTATGTGCAATGTGGGGATTGTTGCCAACCCCTTCCCCCTTCCACCGTCTTGGTAATACGGGCACGAAATTCCAACCTTGTTTTGGGTGGATTTGCTTTGAGATCTCAGGTGGTTTCTTGTCTGTGTCGGGAAATCCAGTCAACGAGGTGTCCGGCTAAATATGCAACTTGGAGACGAAACGAGCCGGTGGTATGGACAGAGCCCAGGGAAGACTTGGACATCCGCCCCGTTGAGATTCCATCTGGTGCCTTACCACCCTCGGTACAGCTGGCAAGGTGGTCAGACTCCCCAGGCTAGTGTGTCCCACATCAAAAACTACAGCTACAGCATGCCATTTGTCTGAACTCTTACCTATACTACCTCTACTTTCTGCCTTATTTGCAAGGCCTCGGGACCTTCGGATTTCAGAATGCTGTGGCCGTGCCAAAGGTTCTGGAGATCGTTTCGTCTGTGCTTCTGGAGCAAAAGGAGACACCTGAGTGGGTTGCCAGTTGCAGCGCGCATCTCAATTAGCGGAACTTCTGGGTGAATACCCGGTGCCGGTGAGCTCTGCCCCTGCGGAAAAGTCCGGGATGCTCTCGACGAGGGAGCCGGAGGATAAACAGTCCCAGAGTCCCAGAGCTCGATCCAAAGGCTTTTTAGCCATGGCTAGTTTTCTGACGACCAGTAAACGACGGGGCTCGATGCCTGAACCTCATGAACTTTGAAGCCGCGTATCTGCAGGACGCGCGACAACATTGTCACAGCCACGCTGTCAACACACAGGGCGTGCACCACCCAAGGCCAGCGTGGGTCCGTTCTTCGATGCGATTCTCAACCCTCAAGCCGGCTTCGAGGGCGACCAGACGCTCACAGAAACGAGAGGGACAAGGCCAGCCCATGGGCGCGTGCTCGCAGACGCTGTGGGTGTGTCCTCCTTCTCAAGTAGATTTGCGGGGAGGCCAGCGCCACGCTCAAAAAACGCACCAGGACCTACGAAGATGGTAGCGGTGTGCAGCACGGTGCCCGGCTCAAGCTCGCCTGCGCCGGGCCCGGTAATAGTCGGC